AAATTGCCATTTTCAATTATGCTATATGTTCAATCAATCAGAAAATAGATTTTATTTTTTTTATAAAAATATTTTAAAAGAACAAGAAAAATTCTGTCAAAGTGAAGCAAATACCATTTATTATTACTTTGCATTATTGATAATATGAAAATTTTACCTAAAACCATCTAAAAATACTCTTAATATGTTTTGATTTCATTTTCGGAGGCGGAGACTACAGACAATACAGAACAAGGCACTAAGAGTAGCACTAAGTAAGCAAATCGAGAGTCCCACTGACTTGACACTACTATTCTAAAATACATACAGGAATAGACTGACGTACTGACAGTATACGAATACATAAAAAAGCTCAATGATATTTTTATATAAAATGCAGGGACAACACAAATGTTTCGGGCCCTTGGCCAAATTTCATCACCTCCAACAAAGTTAACTAAAATTTCACATGTAGAAACGATATATGTTCAGGGACACTAACGTATTGTGGAAGCACAAAATTATTTTACACGTAATACATCGACAAATAATGTTCAGCATCTAAAGCATTACAAAATCGGATAAATTCATGTTTAACTAATTAATTAGTTTCTGTACACACTGTATATTCAAATATCACAAAATGCTTTTACATAAAATTATTATTAATCAATGTTTCTAGACTGAGCAGACCACTTATAGTCTACATTTTGTGAGGTTTGTCAAAAAAATATTCAATTAGACGATAACTTTGATACACCATTTTTTCATAATAATTATATGTATTAAAATTGCCATTTTCAATGATGCTATATGTTCAATCAATCAGAAAATAGATTTTATTTTTGTTATAAAATTATTTAAAAAAACAAGAAAAATTCTGTCAAAGTGAAGCAAATACCATTTATTATTATTTTGCATTATTGATAGTATGAAAATTTTACTTAAAACCTTACAGACAATACAGAACAAGGCACTAAGAGTAGCACTAAACAAATCGAGAGTCCCACTAACTTCACATTATTATTCTAAAAATATATACAGGAATAGACTGACGTACCGACAATATACGAATACATAAAAAGCTCAATGAGAACTAGGAACATAATACAATGAAAGAACAAATTGTTCTTGTAATTTTTCTTTTTAGATGTATTATTATAATATCTAATAACCTTTTTAATATTTTTAATATTTTTTGGAGAATTTTTGTTCGTTCTATTTTTTATACCACATAAGATAATATGTATTGTGATATTTATATAACAGGGGATGAGTATAACACCCTCGGGTAAAAAAGTCATATATATATATATATATATATATATATATATTACTTACATATCTAATTCACCTTATTAAATGAAATACATATTTTTAAATTTAAAAAAATTCTGAGACAATTCATTACTTATTTCAACATAAATGAATAGAAAAAAATCAATAATAGTTCATCAAAATTTATTACATGAATTAATAATACATTACCTAATTTCTATAATAAAAATTTTATTTATATTCTAATATAAAATTAAAATAATTATTAATTAGAGTCAAAATTGGCGTACTCAAAAAGTTTAACAAATTATTGACAAAGAAAAAATTGAAGTGTTCAATAAAAACTCTCGCAAAATCTTTAGATGAAAATTGCTACAAGCATTATAGATGATTAAGATCATTACAAATTCCATATGTAAAATATATTTAATATTATTACCAATAAATAAACATGCATGTTAATTGTTAATAAATACTGTTGCATCATGCTATATAATATATGCAGAATATTAGTCCAGTAAATATTTTTAAAATTAAGAACGCTAAAATATTTATTAAAATATCAATATATTTCAATTTTGGCTAATTGATAATGTGCATTTTATATTTTATTTCATATCATACAAAAATATTCAATTTGCAATAAGCAATTAATAAGTTGACAAAAAATTATTTTCCATTTATTTTCAATTTTCCATTATTTATAATAAAAATCTAGAGTACAAAAATATGAAAGGTGAAATTACATGAAATGTATATAATAATATAAAACATATATTATTATTACAAATATGATTCTGTTCAGGATAATGCGCATTGCATGTACAAAACTAATTCATTAAAAATATCCAATATGTCATATAATATAAAAGTAGACGTGTATTTGAATCACTTGAAAAACCTTTAGAAGTACAAAAATTTAAAATATAGAGAAAAATATAATATTATTACATTAAAATGCAAACAATATTTCCACTTGCATAATAATGTCCAATTTCAAATAAATCATGTGAAAATAAACTTAGAGTTAATAACAAGCTATTGAGAATAAACAGTAAAATATTTGGTTTTAATTAATAAAACAACCTTTAATAGTAGTAGCGATTTCCAAAAAAAATCGAGCATCAACAAAAAAATATTTAAAAAAATGTATCGTCAATCGTTAGACCAAAAAATTCTATTTAAATTGTTGTCGACTCTATTACACAACATATGCAGAAACATTTTTATACCTAGAATTAAGAACCTTATACTAGGCTAAATTTTTCTAAAAATATATTCTGTCTAAAATATTTGCAAAAAATTAACTATAATCGATTGATTTAAATTATATTATTATATTAGTGATAAAAAAGGTGAAGAAAATTTTCATATTGCATTATAAAATACTATAGTTTGATATATTGAATAAAGTTAATTTTTAATTATCTTCATCTTAAAATTTATAAATTGTGTTTATAAAAGACTGCCAAGAATAGTAGTAAATCAAGAAGTTTTTATTGACTTCATATCGATATCAAAACTTGCAAAATATATTTATAACTATTATAAATAACTAATACATCACATATTTGGATTCGTAGTAACTTCTACTAATTCAATATTTTATGTTTTAATATTTTTGCAGAATGAATCACATATTGTATACAAATGAAAAATCTTATTTATTCTTATTTATATTTAAAATTTTCGAAAAAGAAATTTAAGTTATCGACATTAGATTTATCTATTAAATTTAAATTTACTAATATATATATATATATATATATATATATATATATATATATATATATATATATATACTAGCTGACCCGGCAAACGTTTTGCCACAAAAAATATTTTTAGTACAAAATTCAATATTTTTGAACTGGCAAAATTTTGTTTATGATTAATGTTAAATTTAATATGTCGCTTTTCATCTATAATGTTTTGAGGAAGTTTGGTATCCGAACTAATTTGGTAAGCACATCAAATAAATATAAATTATAAATCTATTTTATTTAATAAATTTCATAAATATTGACAAATGTCATTTCACATTTTTTAAATGTCATTTTTTATTTAAATTTATAAACATTGATTTTTAATTAGATTTAAAACTATAAATAGTGAATATAGCATTTCACCTATTTCGGATATAAATGTTGGATATATCTAATCTACATATGTATATTTTTTTCTATTGTATTCTTTGAACTGTCAAATATTTTTTTTCAAAAATTATAAATCTTTTTTTCTCGAATTTTCCATAAATATTGACATTTGTCATATTAGTGTTTAGTTTTTTTATTAAATATCTGTCAAAAGTTATTGTAATTTATAAAAAATATATATTTATATTTTAAATTCATTTTTAAAAATTTTCTATAACCTAAGTTGGATATACATGCACACGATGAGCGAATAAAATTTAAAATCGGTTCAGTATAGTTTGGGCGTCTATCGCGAACCAACATTGTGACACGATTTTATATATATATATATATATATATATATATATATATATATATATATATATAAAATTATAAAAGTCATCAATAAAAAATAGTATGAGAGTTTTTAGAAATTTATTTAAAATCCATACGTTTTAGCTATCTTATCTTAGTCTTCATTCAATCGCAATCAATATAACTCTGAAAATTAAAACTAAATAAATAATATATAAAAAATTTCATAGAAAAACAATAATAATGATAAAAAAACACAATTTTGTATCCCAATATAACAGGTGAAAACATTACTTGAGTATGTGCACAGTGAAATAATATATATTTTTTAACATCACAATTGGAAAATCATACAAATAAACATGAATAACTTTTAATAAATTGTCGAAATACATAGTGGTCGATTATTTGGTATTGGCTAGTATATGAGATAAATTGCTTTTACTGCAAACTTTTTTATATTGGAGAAACTAGCCAAAACCTGAGTAAATGCTTCATCAACATAAAAAATACCAAACAATTCAAGACATTGTTTGCCGAGCATATAGATTATTTAAACCATAATATAGATATTTTCAATCCAAAAATTTTACATTTTGAAGAAACGTAATTAAATGAAGAATTCGTTGAGGGGTTGTTTTTGTAATTGCATAACGATAGGGTCATAAACAATTTGACAACACAGTCAAATGATATCTAATACCTGATTTTAATATCTAATAAATTTGATTTACTAAAAATATCACAGAGCCTTAAATTGTTTTTTTCCTATATGTATTTTAATATCAAAATCAAAATCAAGTTAATGAAAAATTATTGCCTTACATTATACTTAAATTATATTATTATTAAAATTATTATGAATTGTATTGAAATAAACTTGGCTAACATTCATAATTCATGCATGACAACAGAGTCATAAACAAGCTATTTCAAAATACAGCTCTGATTGATATATAATAATTTTGAATTACTAAAAAAATCATCAAGCCATTGCTTTTTCTTATATATATTAATGTCAAAATCAAAATCAAGTTAATGAAAAATTATTGCATATCTGTGATTGTACTGAAATATTTGGCTAACATAAAATTCTATTTAAAAATTAGATTGATGCTCGTTTTTGCATATAATTTAATTGAAATACTTGTAATTACAAGATTGAGATTTGTTTGAAGCATTTTCTAACATAATTCCAACCAAGAGAATAAGGTAAATCGCTGTAAACGTGTGGCAATTAACAATTATCAATTATAAATCAATTTTTAAAAAAATCATTTTTATTTTTTAATTTAGATCTGGTGTACGTTTGGGAGAAGTGGAAGACAACAACACATCTGAACCAAATGACTGCTCAGGTGTGGATTGTGCGGACGCACCCCAAGATTTTCGAATTGGCAAGGTCACCGTACATTCTCGATATGATGTCCCAAAATTTGCAAACGACATTGCTTTGATTAGATTATCCAGATCAGCAAATTTAACAGGTATTTGAATAATCTATAATTTAATCAAATAGTAGATACTAAAAGAAATAAATAATAATATAAAATTTTATGATTTGAGATTTAAATGAAGAGTAAATTCGGAGCAACTTGAGTATCAATGCAACTAATATTAGCCTTTCCCAAAAATTTAAGACACTATGGGAAAGAAAATTTCAAATAACATATTTTAAAAACCTGTTAAAATAATACTCTTATCTTTTATAGTTAAATATATCTATCAAAATAAGTGTTTTAAACAAATTTATAAAAAAATTGCAAAATAAATTCTCAAGTGGGATAAAAGTAATCTGAAATTAAGTTCATAAGAAAATATACGATAAATCTACAATAATGTTACAAAAAAGTATATAAAAAATCGTAAAAAGCATTTTCCTCTCTTCTGAAAGTTTTCAAGAATGGTTCTTCAATCAATTCATATGGTTTTAAATTGATTAAAAATAAATCTACACTAGCTTCTATAAATAATTTAAATGTCAATATATAAGACATCCAAAGCATTCCGCAATTAAAAATTGTAATGTAAATGGTAAAATACTGTATGGCGTATCTTTTAAAATAATACGTAATAATAAATATGAAACAGTATCAAAAATAGCAATAACACAGTACAACAACAGGCATAAAAATTCATTCATTGACGATCATATAACTTTTTAAAACACTTTTGAAAAGTAAATGAAATTTGTCAAATTTAATAATTTATTATATAAGTTTTTTTAAATTGAATATAAATTTCTCAAGTAGTGTCTATATAAATAATATTAGTTTTTGTAAAAATATATTGACTATGGGTAAAGTAAAAAATATAAAATATTTTGCTCTTACATGCATTGAAAATTTCCAATCGAAAAAGATATTGAAAATGATCTCTATTAAAAATATACTAATTCTGTGAGTGCGTTTATCATAATAAATACATGAATAGATTAAATATAAAATGAATTGTTTAATTTTAGAAAGTATTGAAGGTATCAATCTTATTGAAAATATCATATTGAGTGCATTTAACCAATCAATATTTAATAAAATTAAATTAAATTGAATGAACCTCTCTAAAAGTTGTCTACATTTGAAAATCTATGAAACAATTGAGCATCAAAATTCTCTTTGTGAGTTCAAAATAACAACTATGTTTTTTGCCTTTTCTGAATGTATCAATATAAAAAAGTATGAATTATTTCATACCCTGGATAAATTTTAAGGCAAATCTACAATTATTGGATCAAGTTACTAAATATTAAATAACTTACGACGTAAATGTAGTAGTAAAATAATTAATATTAAAGTTCATTATTGGTTTAGGAAAATTAAAATTATAGGCAATAATAACAGAAGCTATTTAAAAAGTGCCAGGTTAGAAATATGATTATTATATTAAAGAACACGCAAATGAATTTTTGTACACTGCTATGTCTTTAAAAATACAGTATATATATATATATATATATATATATATATATATATACGCCATAGAAACATTTTGTAACAATTCCGATTGATACAAGAGACCAGGCACAATTGAAAATTAAAACAACTGTAAGTGCGAAAAAGAATTCAAAACAGTATTTGTGGCAGGAATTATTAAAAACATTATGATACATCAAAAAATTTTTTACGAGAATATTTGGATACAAGACTAAATACTGGATTTGGATACAAATACAAAGACTAAATTGTGCATTTATTCCCTCAATACTAAAAAATTAAGTCCGAAGCTATGAAAGACAACAAAACTGCCAAAAATTTCTAACTGAAATAAGTTATATAAATTATTTCGGACTAAATTTAAATTTTATATATACTCGGCAACACAAGGTTACAAATTACAATAACTAAAAATCTATAATTTGATGAATTTATATATTCATATTATTGTATAGACGCCTCACACAGAAAATGTTATATTATTTTATATATTACATTTATTTATTTGAATACCAACAAAACAAGGAAGTATAAATTTGCATTTAACTCCATAATGCTAAAGAATGAAATCAAAACCTCTGAAGTACAATAAAGACAAGACCGCAGAAAACTTTGAATAATAAAAAATACTTTAAAAATAGCATTCACATTCAAAATAGTACAATATTTATTTGTAAAAATAAATTAATACAAAAAAATTTGTAAAATTTATTTGTATATAAGGAATATAAAAAGCAATTATACATTTTTATTATTTCAATGCCAAAAAATTAAAAACGTATTTGAGAGACAACAAAAGCATTAGCAGCCATGTTTTGATTTTTGATTATGAAAGAAAATATTTTTAAATAGCATAAGTTAAAAATATCTGAAATTTTTAAACTGTTTTTGATAGAGCTTAAACATAATTCCACGCACATATGACTTAGTTCAAAATATTCCGGTCTTTTAAATTATATATAAAGACCCGTCCAAATAAGGTTTCACAAAATCATTAAGAACAATTTGATGAATATGTATTTTTATAATATTTTTTAGACTACAAACACATAATATTGTATATATATAATATAGTTTATAAATATTCGATTATGAAAAATAAATGTATAAATGCTGTATAAATTTACATTTACCTCCTCGATGCTAAAAAATGAAGTAAAAAAACTTGTAAAAATCAATAATAACAAGACTGAGAAACTTCGATTAATAAAAAATACTCCAAAAAAATAGAATCAGCATTGATAATAAGCTATATATAAAGAATATAAAGCAATTATACAAATAATCCCTTAATGGCAGAAAATTAAGGGGGGGGAGAGCCTACTTCAAAGGCTTCAAAAAATCGCTTTTTTGAAAAATTTTTAGAAAAGGAAATAAATATTCAATTGAAACGAAACTTGCAGTTTTTATTGTTGTATATATCAACATTCTTCGCAAAATTTTTTATTAAAATATATGTCATCTCATAACATGCCAGGTACAATTTCCATCGGAAACAAAAAAATCAAAACAAGTATATATTTTCAATAGTGTAGATTCTGGTTAAAACTGAAAAAGTGAGACAAAATGAAAAATTCACCAATTTTTTCGAAGTTGAAAAAAAATCATGGTTTTGATACAAAATTTCATTTTAGATTGTTTAAAAAGTGGGTTAGTTACAACTTTTTTTTTATTTTTTTTATGTTCGACTCGAATAAAATTTAATCCTAAAATCAATAAACTTTGTATCGTTTCGATAGAACGTTTAGTTTTTTCCCTATCTTTCCCGCCAATTAGGAAGAATAAAATAAAATTAAAAACAGAGAAAACGCGCGTCGAAGTTTTTTATTTCTTCTGTAACTACTAAAATAATTTAAATTTGTGTCTGAAATTTAAAGGATATATTTTGGGTTAGTTTTTTAAGACATTTCAGCAAAAAAACTCGATTTTTTAAGCCTCTAAAGCAGACTGCGCCCTGAGGTCAAAGGCTATGAAAAATGACAAAAACACTGGCAGTCATGTTTTGAATTTTGGTCATAAAAAATACTTTTAAATAATTGCATAAGTTAAAAAACATCTGAAATCTAAAAACATCTGAAATAACATAAGTTAAAAAACACCATTCGACACACAAATCATCTGATCCAAAATATTTCGGATTAAATATAAATTATATATACCCGACTAAACTAAGTTTAAAATAATCAATTACAACATAAAAACTATAATTTGATGAATTTGTATATTAATAATATTTTTTCAGACTACTGACTTAAAAATGGTTTATCATTATACATATCAAATTAAATTTATTTGAATACAAAGAATACAAGGTAGTATTAATTTCCATATACCCCCACTAAAAAATTAGGACAAAATTTCTGAACAATGAAAACAATACCGAAAAACTTTGATTAATATAAGATACTCTGAAAAAATAGCAAAAAAATGTATAGTAGAACAGTTAAACAAATTTTATTTGTAAATAAGGAATATAAAGCAAATATACACTTTTATTATCTCAATGCCAAAAATTAAAGATGTATTTTTTGAAAGACAACAAAAGCATTGGCATCCATATTTTGTACCTTGATTATAAAAAAATACTTTATAAAATAACATAATTTAAAAAAACATCTCAAATTTTTTTAATTGTTTGTGATATAGTATAATCATCTTATTCAAAATATTTTGGACTAAATATAAATTATACATACCCGACTAAAGAAGGTTTCAAATAATCAATTACAACATAAAAACTACAATTTGATGAATTTGTATATTAATAATATTTTTTCAGACTACTGACTCAAAAATGGTTTATCATTATACATATTAAATTAAATTAATTTGAATACAAAGATTTTAATGTAGTATTAATTCACATATACCCCCACAGGACAAAACTTCTGGACAATGAAAACAAGACCGTATAACTTTGATTAATATAAGATACTCTGAAAAAATGGCAAAAAAATTTATAGTAGTACAGTTAAACAAATTTTATTTGTAAATAATGATTATAAATCCTTTTTTTTATTATCTCAATGCCAAAAATTTAAAGACGTATTTTTTGAAATACAACAAAGCATTGTCAGTCATATTCTGTACTTTGATTAAAAAAATGCTTTATAAAATAACAAAATTATATACGAGTATACCCGAAAACTATAATGATTGATATACTATATTGATGAATTTGTATATTGATGATATTTTCTCAGACAACTGACGCAAAAATAGTTCATCATTATACATAATAAATTAAATTTATTTGAATACAAAGATTACAATGTAGTATTATTTTACATATACCCCCACTAAAAAAATAGTACAAATTTCTGAAAATTTCTAATTTTCTGATTAATATAAGATACTCTGAAAAATAGCAAAAATATTTACAGTAGTACAGTTAAACAAAATTTATTTGTATATAAGAAATGTAAAGCAATTATACATTTGTTCCTTAATGCCAGAACAACAAGGGCCATAACATCAATTATAAAAAAAATCACTTTTAAAAAATAGCGTACGTTAAGAAACTTCTCAAATTTTTAAATTTTTTTGATAGAATA